GAATCCTGACTGCTCCTACCAAGGAGGGTTTAGGGTTTAGGGTTTAGGGGTTTAGGGGTTTAGGGTTTAGGGTTTAGGGTTTAGGGTTTAGGGTTTAGGGTCTAGGGTTTAGGGTTTAGGGTTCAGGGTCCGAGGCCGAACCCGGTCTTCAGTGGCCAGGGTTTAGGGTTCAGGGTTTGGGGTTTAGGGTTTAGGGTTCAGGGTTTGGGGTCGAGGGGTTTTGGGTTCAGGTGGAGGGGTTTAGGGTTTAGGGTTGGGGTGTAGAGGTTAAAGGCATGGAGTTGTGGAGGTTCGATTTTAAATGATTGTATGGATCTGAGGGGTGTGGCAGTGGCTTCCTGTTTATGGTTTAAGGTTTCGTAGGAATGCAACCGAAAGTTTCGAATATCGGAAGACTTCAACCAGAAATTCTCAAAAGCCACTGAAGAAGGACAGAACGCCCCTCTGAGCTGACGCTTGCAGCCTAACAGAACTACTGTCGAAGTCTGATTCCTTAGATATGCTATTAGGGTTCATTAAAGCGTTCTAACCTAATTATCAAGGCTCCTATACTATGTATCCCTGTCGGACCCTCATAAACTTCTGGAGAAGCCTACACTCCCCATCAGCCCTGTAGCAAGCCGTTAGCAACTTTCCAACAACCTTATTCACGCCTAGAGCCCTACACCCGAAACCCAAAATCCTCAACCTAAGCCCTACACCCGAAAAGGCCGCTGCACTTAAAAAAACCCTACACCCAAAACTGGGTAGAAACACCCTAGACCCTAAACCCTAAAACCCTAAACCCTAAACCCCTAAACCCTAAACCCTAAACCCTAAACCCTAAACCCTAAACCCTAAACGCCCTTAGCCCTAAACCCCAAGCAACGAGGTGCGTCTGACTACCATGGACCAGCAGCTCTCCGAGTCTATCGACGGAGCCTCAGGGAAAGAGCGGTGGGGAACTTGGGTTCCAAAAACAGGGGGTTTGTGGTTTAGGTTTAGGGTTTAGGGTTTAGGGTTTAGGGTTTGGGGTTTCGAGTCGAGTTTCTGAGAATTGGGGGCTCTAGACAAGGGTACTACGGTACTACAAGGGTTATGGGTGTTCTAGTAACTTTGAGAGTCAGGAGTGTAGGGTTTAGGGATAAGGGTCTCTAGCAAGGGGTAGTAGAAGGTTCCAGGGAGCGGGGTTTAAGGATTCTGCAAAGTGCTACTGCAAGAGTTTTGCAAGGTGCACTTCTCGGAGGCCTTCGCATGTTGGGTTGGAGTTTCAGGTTCTCAGGGTCTAGTTACAAGGGTTTGCAGTGGGTTTGAACCCCGGTATAAAACCATCTAAGGGGACCATACTGTGGAACCCTGTAGTACCCTTTCAGGGGACCCCAGTAGAGAATTCCAGGGGTTTGGCCTCTTATACTTTTCAGGTGAGGGCTCCGGAGTCAGGCTTGAGGATCTTGGGAGCAGTCGAGGAGAGGGTTTGTCACGGAGCCCTGGTTTTCGTGCTTGTGTGGGTAGTTCTCTAAATTAGGGTCCCTTTTTAGGTCCCCAATATAGTACGGCACCCTTATAAACTGGACCCTAAAACCAACCCTAATTTAGAGAACTACCCATGTGTTTCGGGTTGCTTTTTTGGCGGTGAACGACGATCGTTTGGGGGCTGTGACGGCCATTAGTTGCTGCGTTACGACGACAACAAGTAGATGATTGAGTAGATGCCTGGCGGTGCTGAACGCATGCGTCAGGGTTGTGGTTTGGGCTGTTCTACGCGGTTTTACTTTGGATTATACTGAGAATCGAATCCGAGTGTATATTTATCATATTTCTTTCAAGACAAGAGGTGACCTTACTTAGTCCCTTGCTAGTAGTTAGGATCCTGACTATTAGCGCCCGCAAGGGACCCAAGTTTTGACCACTACATTCAAACCCCAAACCCACATCTCGAAGCCGACCTTAAACCGAAACCCCATACCCTAAACCAGCCACTGCACTTGTCTGCTTGATGAGGCCACGCATGGCCGGAAGTTGGAGCAGGTGCATCCCTCCAAACCCGAAGTGCCTAAAGCCCTAAACCTTAAAGAACACACCCTCCCAGACCCTCAAGCCCCTAAACCGCAAAAGCCCTCAGAACCTCTAAAGCACTGCACTTTTTTTTTTTTTTTACCAAGCCTTTGGAAACTGCAATAGCCTGGATCAAGATCATGCTCATGTGGCAGCAGGGTCCGTACCCCCGAAGAGCCTCCAGGATGGATTCAGGAGGTACTTGGAGGATCATGGGACTTAGTAAGTAAGGTTATAAGTACCTTAATGGGAGTTAGAATTAAGTATAACTATAGTTAGCTCAAGTCCCATGATTCTTTAAGTAGGCTGTCAAAGTGCCAAATGGATCCCTGGAGATCGTGAGTCTTCAGCGCTGAACTATCACGCGCAGGCCCATTCCAAGTGGGACCAGCTACATGGCCGCATGGCCACCCTGGAGGTCATGGGGACTGTGCATGCAGGATTTGTGTGGAATTTCATTTCACGCCAGTATCTCGTGTCAGTGTTGTTGCCAGGCTCAGGGAAGCACTATCGACCAATTGAAGCAAAACCATGTGATCCTGGCGAATGAGAAGGCCTGCTTGCGCACGATGAAGCCATTGTGCCGCATGCAAGAGTTCAGGGTTTGTCATGCAACCCTATGCCCGACAGCGCAAATCTGTGTCGTGGCAAGGCCAAGCGCGATGCTCACCATGCTTCTATGGCTGAACGCTTGGAATATGTTGAGAAATTGCTTGGCGACTCTGCCGATCGCCACAGCCAGATGCCCGGGCAGCCTCAAAGCTTAAGGGCCTTATATCGGTTCCTAGGGTTTAGGGGCTTTGTGTGTTTAGTGCAGACTAGTGCACTTCCACACATCTGATCGTTGTTTTGAAACAGCTGTGAACATGCGATGTTTTCCACTTGGAGGCATCTGTACACTATCTTTGTTGCAGCCAGTACCATAAGGACCCTTAGGGGGGTTGGGGGAGGCGCGTAGGGGGCCTGAATACCTGTAATAAGGACCTCGTAAAGTTTCCTATGGCACTATCTAGGTTCATTTGGATACTTAACTTATTGTCACAACTCCATTCATGTGAGAGTCTCTGCAAGTAAGCAGCCCCACTAGATAGATAGACAGGTAGGTAGGTAGATAGAAAGATAGATAGAAAGTAGAAAGATAGATAGATAGGTAGGTAGATAGATAGACAGATGGATAGATGCATAAATAGACAGAGACAAACAGGCAGTTGAATAGATAGCTAGACTTCGACAGATGCATAGATGGACAGATGGATGGATGGATGAGAATTATACAGTCCTTTACACGCACCTCTAGCTCTAACCCTCGAGCCGCCTGAAGCCGATAGGGAACTCCTCGTTCCTCGAAGCTTCAACCAAAACCCTAAAACCCTAAACCCTAAAGCCTAAAACCCTAAACCCTAAAGCCTACAACCGTAAACGCTAAACCCTAAACCCTAAACCGTAAAACTCTAAACCCTAAAGCCTACAACCCTAAACCCTAAAGCCTACAACCGTAAACGCTAAACCCTAAACCCTAAACCCTAAACCCTAAAACCCTAAACCCTAAACCCTAAATCCTTAAACCCTAAAGCCTACAACCGTAAACGCTACACCCTAAACCCTAAACCCTAAACCCTAAACCCTGAACCCTAAAACCCTAAACCCTAAACCCTAAAACCCTAAACCCTAAAGCCTGCAACCGTAAACGCTAAACCCTAAACCCTAAACCCTAAACCCCTAAACCCTAAATCCAAAGTGGGGCCCTCAGAATATGTTGAAGCCTCCCACGGCGCAGCAAGCAGAGGGCTCACGGCCGTCCGCTTTTGCGAGGCCAGGAGCTGAAAGCAGCGCACCAGAAGCTGGAGCAGGTTCCGGGCAGGTGTTATAATTCTTGTTGTTCCTATCAGTATTGGTTATATTCGTGTTATTATTGTTATTTTTATGTTGTTCATGTTATTGCTATTTATTGCGTTTATGAAGAAAACATAGTTTTGTGATGATTTGTCCTTCTCAACATCATTTCTATGACTGCTGTTCCCGGGATTTAGTGCTTGGGGTTCAGGGCCTGGGTATTTGTTTTTCTCTTTGGGTGGAGGGTACAGGGTACTTGAGGGGGGGATCTGGATGTCGAGCTTGGGTTTAGGGTTTAGGGTTTAGGGTTCTGGCAGGTGTAGGGGGTTAGCTTGCTGTTTGGAGGAGCTACCCGAAAGCTGCATCGCAAAACCTGCACAGCCCAAGGCGCCCTAAAACTCCTTACACCGCCCTAAACCTTAAACCCTAAACCTTAAACCCTAAACCCTTAAACCCAAAGCCCTTAAACCCTACACCATACACCCTGAAACTCCAAACCCTTAAACCCTAAGCCCTCAAACCCTAAACCTTAAACCCTACACCCAAAACCTTAAACCCTAAACCCTTAAACCCTTAACCTTAAACCCTAAACCTTAAACCCTGAACCTTAAACCCTAAACCTTAAACCCTAAACCTTAAACCCTAAACCTTAGACCCTAAGCCGTAAACTCGGAATTTTTTACGTCCAGCGGAGTCCCCTCAGCCCGTTGTGGCAGTCTGAGGTGGCGAATACTGAATTCTGAAGAAAGGTTTAGGATTTGGGATTTAGGGGTTAGGGTTTAGAGACCGAACGAAGCTTCAAGAAGCACCTTGACTTATTCTAGTGGTTCTAGTGCACCCTAACCTGCTGTAAGATATCCTACCAACTCTTCAGCTCTACTCAGCACCGAACACTACGGTTGATGATATAAATCCTGCATTACCCACAATCAACCCTAAACCCTAAACCCTAAACCGATAATAAGAAGTATACCATAATTGCCATAGTTTAGGATCCTTAAGGTCATGTAGGATTTATATCATCAGCAGGCCCAGGATCCGAAGGAGCCGAAGTTGCCTCGGACTTAGGTTTTTTGGGGTTTATTTAGTAGGGTGCTGAGGGTGCAACCCTAAACCCTAAACCCTAAACCCTGAACCCTAAACCCTAAACCCTAAACCCTAAACCCTAAACCCTAAAGCCCTAAGAGGCGTTCGGGCTTTCGAGTCGCAGAGGTCCACGGCCGACTCTCCGCCTGCGAGCGATCGCACACCACCCTCACGGAGCAGCAGCGAGCCCGGGAGGCCCTCGTAAAACTAAACCGGAGTAGGGTTTAGGGTTTAGGGTTTAGGGTTTAGGGTTTAGGGTTTAGGGTTTCGGGTTTAGGGTTTAGGGTTTAGGGTTTTCCCCTATAATATCAGGTGGTCGGTACGAGCCCCGT